AAAACGAAAATAACACCCATTCTTGTCTTAGGACATTTTATTTGGCAAATTTTAAAATAACAGTAAGTATATGTGACCTTTTAAATATATAGTATAATTTGCTGGTTTTAAACATACAGAATGATAATAAATATAGTTATGAAACAACTATAACACCAAATGTTGACTAATGAAAGTACATTTATAACAACTATTTATTTGTTAGACTTCTGTATTGTCAAACCATGTTGCATACAAATGCATTCAACAGACCTATATGACAGTGCATTGCTGTAGAGGACAAATAAAACACGAGACAGGTGTTTAGAAAGAGTATAGTTTATTTAGTTTGACATGCAAACTTATCTAAACAAGACACACTTTCAGAAAACAGCCCGGAAACATTATAATGCGCGCGCTCGTGAATATAACCCGCGGTTGTCTTCAACTGTTGTCTTCAATAGTCCTTCTTTGCTCAACAACTGAGCTGAAAAACAAAGCAAAACATTACAACAGTCAGACATGGAGCAAAGAGCATAGAATTACCAAGAGGCGACACTCTACAATTTGGGAAACAATAACGCGCTTTTTGAATAAAATAAATAAATAAAAAGCAGCTGCTTTCCATCGCGACAGCAATGACGAGCGATCGCTATCACTTGAAACTGGCGGAATCCGGGTCTGTTGCTCTTGGTCATTCTAAGCTCTTTGCTAAAGGTTTAATCATAACAGTTACCATGGTTTCTATTTCAAACTATAGTAAACTAAAGTTTGAAACTATAGTTTAAAATAGAAGATGAGTGGGCCTCGCTACTCCCACCCACCATAACCCTCGCAGCGAGGCCCCACTACCGGCCGCCCGTGTTTCCCCGAGGGTCCTCGGGGGTTGTGTTCTCCCTGCCTAGGGCTCAAAGGCCGCCTCGCTGACAGAGCACACGAGCTTTATAGGAATGCATATGCAAATTTTTACAAGGCACGTCACTGTTGTCTCGCTGTCATGGCGAGCGCTGAGGAGGGCTCACCTGATTGGACCAGGGAATCTGCGTCAGGGCGAGTTGCCGTCTGCTGTGGACAAAAAATATATTAAATATATTTAATATATATTTTTACATTTTTGGTGCTGTGTAATATTCTGAGATACTTTATACGGTTCCTTTTACAGCATCCATGGTGTAAATTAAGCGTTTCCGGCGAATTGAATGCCAATGCAAAATCCGGTGCGTTTAAGGTCTGTTTTCTTTCAAAATCAGCGATCTCCACAAGCTGAGTGATATCCGATTTAAAGTGGGTCTCAGATTGTACAAGAAGCACTGCATTAAATTACATTTCCCCCGCCATATCCTTATAATATGAGCAATATATTTTACCCCAGTATATTCAATGGAGCTTCTGCGTTAGCCTGCCGATTCTGACGGGCGCGTGCGAGTAAACAGCTTTTTGTCTCGTTTTACGCTTGAGCAACTAAATAAATGCAAAAGTTTATTTAACTGAATGTATGTTAATGACATTACAACATCGATGCTGTATAAGGAACCGTATAAAATGGAAAAAAAGTTCACAATAACAGGTCACCGGAAGTGTATCAGCATGGAAACAGCACTAGCTCGGCATATACCCTATTTAAATAGGAACTTATATACATCTAATATATCTAGAAAACTACAGGAGTATTACATACTAAGCAACAGAATCCTGTGGTGCCACAGAAATGTTTAAGTGATACCACACACTACCACAAGAATACCGCAGGAGTATTACATACTGTACAACACAGAATCCTGTGGTAAAACATCCCAAAAAAACAACAAAGTACTACACAATCATCCCATGGTTTTTGTTTTGTACATTTGATGGTTTACCACATGAAATACCACATGCTACCACAAAAATATTACAGGAATATAACAGTAATACCACACGCTCTACCACAAGAATATCCCAGGAATATTACATATTGTATAACAGAATCCTGTGGTAAATACTACCACAATATGAAAGTGATACACTACCACAAGAATACTACAGGAGTATCACATACTGTACAGCACAGAATCATGTGGTAAAACGTCCCAAAAAACAACAAAGTACTACACAGTTACCACATAACATTTGATGGTTTACCACATAGAACACATTTCTGTGTTACTGTGTAACACTGAGTTTGCATATTCTCCCCATGTTGGCGTGGGTTTCCTTGCTCCGGCTTCCCCAGCAGTCCAAAGACATGCGGTATATGAATTGGATTAATTAAATTGTCCAGTGTATGAGTGCGTATGTGAATGAAGGATTGTTGCGCAGTACTGGATTGCAGCTAGAAGAGCATCTGCTGCGAAAAACATATACTGGTATAGTTGGCAGTTGTGGCGACTTCTCCTAAAAAATATGGAAAACATGCTTTTAGTCATGGAATATTCCAGAATCAGATTAGATATGTTTAAGGAAATGTAAGTGAATAACTAGGTTTTATATTGTATTCCTTTTTTGGGGTGGGTGCAGGGGCGGATTGGCCATCTGGCAATTCTGGCAAATGCCAGAAGGGCTGGACCAATTTTTAAATGTGGGCCGGACAGTTAAAAAAAAAAAAGTATTGTTTTTAAGTGCAGACAGCTTTTATCTTTTGCTAGATGTGATTTTATGATGATGATGATAAAAATAATAATAATAATAATAATAAATGTTAAGCATATATATATATATATATACAGTTGTCTGAATTATTAGCCCGAATGCTTATTTTTCCCCAAATTTATTGTAAATGTAGAGATTTTTTCAACACATTTCTACAAATAATAATTTTAATAACTCATTTATAATAACTGATTTATTTTCTCTTTGCCATGATGACAGTAAATAATATTTGACTAGATAATTTTCAAGACACTTCTATACAGCTTAAAGTGACATTTAAATGCTCAACTGGGTTAATTAGGTTAACTGGGCAGGTTATGGTAATTAGGCAAGGTATTTTATAATGATGGTTTGTTCTGTATATAGATTATCGGAAAAATATAGCTTAAAGGGGCTAATTATTTTGTCCTTAAAATGGTTAAAAAATAGCTGCTTTTATTCTAGCCAAAATAAAACAAATAAGACTTTCTCCAGAAGAAAGAATATTATCAGACATACTGTAAAAAAAAAAAAAAATTGCTCTGTTAATCTAAAATCATTCATTCATTCATTCATTCATTCATTCATTCATTCATTCATTCATTCATTCATTCATTCAATTATTCATTCATTCATTCATTCATTCATTCATTCATTCATTTTCTTTTTGGTTTAGTCCCTCTATTAATACAGGGTCACCACAGCAGAATAACCGCCAACTTATCCAGCATGTTTTTAGGCAGAGGATGCCCTTCCTGGGAAATGTTAAAAATAAAACCTCAAAGGGGCGAATATTTCTAAATTCAATTGTGTGTATATATATATATATATATATATATATATATATATATATATATATATGTACATTATAAAACTTTTTTTTTTGTTACAAAACCAAATTTGTATTGCCAAAAGAAAAGTCAAATAAAATAATATGTGTTATTATTACTAATAATAACAACAATACATGGTGGAAAAATACACTGACTAATTTGGACATCAAGAAACCATTTTACAAAATTTTACAAAAAAATATGTATTGTATATAAAAAATATGTATATGTAATGTATTTTTATGTCATGTAATACATTTTAATAACCAACTATCTAAACTTAAAAAAGGTGAAAAATGATGGCTTTGGACACCAAGGCTACCTGGCAACTACATAGAATCGCCCAAAAACATTATAATGGATTTTGTAAGTTAATGATCAGTATCAACAAATGCTGGAAACAATAGAATTTGTGAATATTTAGTGAAGTGTGATTAGGCGACACAGTGGCGCAGTAGGTAGTGCTGTTGCCTCACAGCAAGAAGGTCACTGTTTCGAGCCTCAGCTGGGTCAATTGGAGTTTCTGTGTTAAGTTTGCATGTTCTCCCTGCATTCGCGTGGGTTTCATCCGGGTGCTCTGGTTTCCCGTACAGTTCAAAGACATGCAGCATAGGTGAATTGGGTAGGCTAAATTGTTCGTAATGTACAAGTGTAAATGAGTGTCTGTGGATGTTTCCCAGAGATGGGTTGCAGCTGGAAGGACATCTGTGCTGGATAAGTTGGCGGTCCATTCTGCTGTGGCGACCCCGGAATAATAAAGGGACTAAGGCGAAAAGAAAATGAATAAATGAATGAAGTGTGATTAAATGTTATTTTTCCTTTTTATGATCCTGCACAACTACAACCTTTTATTGCAATTACAACAGTCAATAACAACAGAAATGCAATAGAAATACAAACAGATGAAAGCATAGTACAAGAAATACAAAGATGACATTTTTTGCAACAAGAGAAATGTGAACATTTTAAAGAAATATATTAAAGGTAAAGCAAAAGAAAGACAACAAGAAAGAAAAAGAAACTAAATATAATTAAATAAACGAGGGCACATAAAAAAATAATACAAATGAATGTAGAATTTTAAATAAAGCACTTTTTTGTTTGAAGTTTGAATTGCTTTCTTGTTCTGAGACTCCATGACGGTTTTAAAGTAGACTTCCAATTCTCATTTTACAAATACAATATTTAGCTTACATTGAGTATATTTGCATTTATGTATATAATTAAAACTTTCCAATAAATAAATAAGGAGGTTTATATAAAAAGTTGAATTAAGGAATTATTTTTTAAAATATTATGCTTGTAGCTTAAATAAAAATCACTACAAACCGTTTGGACGAGAATTCACAACAGACCAGAAAGATTTAACAAAGGGACATTCCCAAAACAAGTAATAGACTCAGAAGAAGTCTCACAGAAAGAGCAAGACACGTCAATGTCATTTTTGAATATTTTTATAAAATTGTTTCACTGGATAAAATCTATGAATAATTTTAAGTTGAGTGGTTTGTAAATTATATTATGTTGTGAACTATCCCTTTAAATGATAAACAGTTCCTGCGCATGGCACCTTTGACCAATGGGACGCCACATACACGTCACGTTGCTCATGACGGTCATTCGACTCAGGAAGCGCGTGGAGAGCAGGGTGAATGTCAAAACAGAGACAAACGAAACTAACTATCCGAGCTGTTATAGAAACGCAAGTTTTTATTCTCATATTTTATTTTATTATATCCAAATTAACGTTAGTGGGTGTCAACGGCACAGGCATTCAAAAGCGGAAGAAGCAGAGATAAACATCATAATCTGGTTCACTCTCTACACTAGGCTGACAGCATGTCGCTCACATTACAGCGGATTCCTGCTTTCTCCTCGTCGTTATTCTGTCGGTGTAGCTCGAAATTTCTGGACCGACTCTGCAGTCGCATGATTTCCAAGAAAATGAGAGTATCTGATGCGCTTGCATGCAAAGAGACGGGCTCAGATGTTAGAATACAGGTGAGAAACTACATTGTAAACGAGAATGTGTAGATGTCAGAATTATTAGCCCCCCTGTTTATTTCCCCCCCAATTTCTGTTTAACGGAGAAACGATTTATTAACACATTTCTAAACGTAATAGTTTTAATTACTAATTTCTAATAACTGATTTATTTTATCTTTGCCATGATTACAGAAAATAATATATTACTATGCCATGATTAAAGTAGATAAAATATTGCTAGATATTTTTAAGACACTTGTATATACCTTTAAGTCACATTCAAAGGTTTAACTAACGTTAGGTCAACTAGGCAGGTTAGGGTACTTAGGCAAGTTATTGGATAACGATTGTTTGTTCTGTTGTCTGTCTGTCTGTCTGTCTGTCTGTCTATCTATCTATCTATCTATCTATCTATCTATCTATCTTAAATTATTGTAGCTTAACATTTTTTACTTATTATTATTATTTTTTTTATAAAGAAAAAAACTGCTTTTATTCTAACCGAAACATAACATATAAGACTTGCTCAAGAAGAAAACATATTATCAGACATATTGTGAAAATGTCCTTGCTCTATTAAATATAATTTGGGAAATATTTAAAAATATATATTATAATATTATAAAATATAAAAAACATGAAAAAATCAAAGAGAGTTTAATAATTTAAACTCTCAACTATAAATTTAAATTTTCAACTGTAACTTAGGGCATTCAAATGGTACTTTAAAAAAATGTATATATATATATATATATATATATATATATATATATATATATATATATATATATATATATTATTGAAACCATTGAAAACGTTTTACTACCTAAAAATTGGTGTGTAATGGAAATGTTAGAAGATCTATAAATCATTAGCATTTGTATGTAATTACTGTATTTATAAGGAATATGTATGATTTATGGAAAAAAAAGAAAAATAGTTATTCTTACTTAGAATTTTTGTCTTTTTTGCTAGTCCAAATGTCTTCATATCAAACCAAAAACAAAATAATTTTACTTGCCCCACTGGCAGATCATTTCACCTATTTCAAGAAAAAAAATCTCTTAATTTTTACTTATTTCATCTTAAGTTGAAAGCGAAACAATATATTTACTTGATCTAAGAATGTTTCATTATTTGGTCTACAAATAAGACAAAGTAAGAAAAGCAATTATTTCATTGTGGTTATACAATTTCTGTACCAGAATGTTGTTAGGCTCCCCTGAAAAACGTCAAATAGTGCGATTCAAACTATTTTATGAAACTGTATTGGTATCACAAAATTTATCGCAGAAAAATAAAATATTGATTTTACAATATCATCCAGCCCTAATAGATAATAATTGTAATCTTAGTAATGAAAATCTAATTAAAAAAAAGTAAAATTACAAAAAGGATGAATTATGAAAACTGAAAATATCAAATAATTTTATTTATAAAACAAATTAAACTTCATAAAAATATTTTACTAAAATATCACTAATATACACTGTTGAGTTTTTTTTTCTACATCTACACCTTATTTAGCATTTTTAATGGCATTTCTTTAAAAATATAAGTTTTTTTCTTTTTATTACTAAAAAGCCAGCCCAGATGAAAAAGTAATGCAATACGTTCCTTAAAATGTACCACATTTAGTTTATTATTGAAGAAGTCGCTTCAAAATGTATGTAAACTTCAAAGTTATAACTTTTCCCAACCCTGCAAATGATTAATTAAAATGTGTGTGAGGATTGTCTGTATGGTTGAATATTAAGTTATCTCTTAATCTTATCTTGTTCTGTTGTAGCATTACATTTTTGTGGCCAAAATCACATTTTGGAATCAATGAAATTAAAGAAAAGATCTTAGTATAGTGTATGCTATCTATTATTTTCTTAACAAAACCTGATCCTAATGGTAATGCCCACAGTTATAGTAGCATATGCTGAAATTCTGTATGCTGTTCCTGCAGGGCTGGGTTCGATCGGTCAGGCCACAGAAAGACAATCTCTTCTTACATTTGAATGATGGAAGTTCACTGCAACCACTACAGGTTGTTGCCAGCTCACAACTGAACACCAGGTGCTTTCTGCTCTTGTGTATTCAACACTATTTTTAAGATCAAATGTATATTAAATACAATACTGCAAAAAGTGCTTTTCTTACTTGAAGTTTTTTGTTTTGTTTCTAGTCCAAATAATCTAGTCAAAAAAAGCGTTTTCTAGACAAGCAAATATGTAACAAAAGTAAGCCAATATCAAGTGAGTTTTTCACTGAAAACAAGCAAAATAGTTACGTGAAAACCAGATTATTTTGCTTACCCATTTGGCAGATTATTTTGTTTGTTTGAAGGAAAAAATTAGCAATTTTTTACATATTATTTATAAAAACAAGATATTTTATTTTGGTAGAAAATGATTCTTGATTCATTTATATATTTATTTGAGATATTTGGAATAGAAAAAAAAAAAACTTTAAGAAATATTTTTTTACGCAGCTTTAGCAAACTGACCGACAGACAATTAGAGAGCTTTTTAAGCCGTCCAGCCTCAACGCAGTACTGGGAAACACCCTTATACACTCATTTGCTAATTTTGTTTTTCCCAATTCACCTATAGAGCATGTCTTTGGACTGTAGGGGAAACCCACTCAGGGTGAACATGCAAACTCCACACAGCAATGCCACCTGGCCCAGCTGGTAATCGAACCAGCGACTTTGTGGTTGGAGGCAACAGTGCTACCCACTGAGCCACCTGTCGCCCTAGGTTAACTAGACATGGTTCAAATGGGCAAGTGGTTTGTTCTGTAGCCAACTGAGAATAATAATGACCTTAGCATTATTTAACGTTATTTATTATTATTAATTTTATTCCAGTTAAACTAAAAGAAATAAGAAGACCATTTTCTCTTATAGAAAAATATAATGGGAAATACTGTGAAATACTTCCTTGATCTGTTTAACATCACTTGGAAAATATTTTGAAAAATAATTAAAATTTTACAGGAGGGCTATTAATTTTGTGTGTATATGCACGCGCACACACAGGTGCTCACAATAATGTGATTCATTTTATCCAAGTCAACAGCTACCAGCATCTTTGGAGTTCACCAAAAAAAAAAAAAAAAAAAAAATTGTGGTTCCTGATGATATGATTTTGTAATTGCTAAAATGCTTTGAAAATTACAATTTAAGGGTTGAAATGTTTATTTTTGATGTTTCCTCTTTTCTTGTCAAGAGACCTCACGTTTGGCTGTGCTGTCGACATTACCGGCACATTAGAGAAGAGCCCAAATAAGAGGCAAAACGTGGAGTTACAGGCTCAGAGTATTAAAGTGGTTGGAGAATGTAATCCGATGGTGAGTTTTGACATCAAAATGAATCCATCAGATAAAATCGATGGACAGAGATTAATGAAACATCTTGATCAGGTCATGTTGAATATACTGAGCCATGATGTCTGCTGCAGGACTTTCCTTTTAAGATCAAGGAGCGTCATCCTCTGGAGTATATCAGGCAGTTTCCTCACCTCAGATGCAGAACTAATGCCTTCAGCTCCATGCTCAGGATACGCAGTGAAGCTACAGCCGCAATCCAGTCATTCTTCAGGGTAAAATTTGCTTAAATGTGCACACACACTCACAACCGTAGCCTTTCTCACCATAATCATCTTGTTACAATATGAAGTATTAAATGGGACTTATTATGCAAAAATTACTTTTAGAAGAGGTTTAAAAACAGTTGTGTGGCAACAAACTGTGAATATAACCAGCTTCTAATGGTAAGAAGTCATACATTTTTTGTAATCATATTCAATAAAAAACAGATTAAGTCTGCAGAAACACTTTGATTAACATTCTCCCTAAGTATGTCATCAGAGGGGGAAAGCCCTGCCCATTAGGGGCATCTACCTCTTTAGCATAGGACGTTAACCTTGTTTTTAAACTGCCACTATGCTGACACATAGGCATTTGGCATTCATAGCTCCACCCTCTTTTGAAAAGAGGGCTGGCAGCATAATCTCATTTGAATGTAAAGGGACAGTCCCTAAAATGGCAAAATTAAGATCAAAGCCTATAATGGGCAGTTTCAAAAAGTTATAAATCATTTGGTATAGGGGATTTTGAGCTGAAACTTTACAGACACACTCTAAAAATAGGCATAATAGGTCTCCTTTAAAGACTACAAGACAAGGATATTACACTGAGTGGAGCTGCACGATTCTGGTTAAAATGAGAATAGCGATTTTTATTATTATTTTTTTTTGCCTAAAATTTTCTCACGATTCTGTAGATATAAAATAAAGGTTAATATGAGTAGGCTATTATTATTGTTATTCTCAAACATGGTAAAACTGCAATAGGCTTTGTTTAGCTGTACTGTTGGTTAAAATGCTAAATTTTGTATAGACTTAGAATGGTGGACTTGAACAGATTTTAGATTTGTCCTGGTCATTGATGCTGATGATAATTCTGATGTTTAATTATTCGGTTCGAGACATATGCTTGCAATCTGTAAATTTCTGCTTAATGTCTATCACTGACGTGATCTTCGTGAGAACTGAAGCAGGGTGGGTATTTTTGCATTTCGGCGGGTTTTGGATACTTTTTGGGCTGGAACCAGTCAGCTACATCTGGCAACACTGTGCGCTTTTGGTTTCATTTTCACTGCTCAGCGGTTCACTTCGCACGCGGCTCCCAAAAGATCACTCTGTGGCACAAACTGAATGTTACTTACAAGTTTATTACCTGTTATTCACAACAGGTTCTGTTCACTAAAGTAAATTCATTCAGAGGCGTGCACGTGCTCACGCCCTCTCTGTGGTAACAACTGACGGTCAGCTCACGTCAAGTGTGATTTTGCGGTCGCAAATACATTACATGAAGACAGAAATGACATTTTTGAGGTTAATTGTATCTTATAAATACAGCATGAGACTCTTTTAACACTATTTGGAGGTGTCCACGTTGCTGAACAACGTATGTAAAACAATGTGAAGACTTGTGCGGCCACCAATGCTTCTCTCCTGAACTTGAAAATATGATTGACAGAATCGTAGAAATGCTGGATTAAGATCGTCTAGGGGGTCAAATCGAGATCGCAATCTTTTTACGATTAATTGTGCAGCTCAAAAATTGCAGTTACACTGGGCTTTTCCTCCCCTAGACCTCTATTCATACGCACGCGAATGCGTCAGATCGGAAACACAGGGTCATGCGTCAAATTTCGCAGGTTGCTCCACTGAGGGTACTTTGATGCGTATTTTTAAAAATGTCTCTCCTGCAAGAATTTGCTTGCAGGAAAGTGATTATTTTTATACTGAAGTGATAAATCATATTTAATGTTTTAATGTACATTGTGAAGTGTTTTTTGTATTGTCTTATTATTGTGTTTATTTATTAGTTTTAGTGGTGTAGCGAAACAAAAATCTCACCATTTGGATTACATTATGGTTTTCTAGTCACGGATCAGACCATTTTTCGGATCAGCCAACAAGGGGAGAAGACAAATGTCATTTGCTTTCCATTTAATGCAAAAACAGTACTACAAAAAGCATTTGGTTTAAACAAACAGAACTTAGAACCTGTTATTTTATTAAAAATAAAACAAATAAATAGTCAACTGAATAAAAATAAATATTCAGTGCTGTGAAAATTCACTGTTACTACTACTGTTACTGAAAATGCTAAAAGTATAAATCTAACATTAAAATTTGTATAACCCATATTTATTTTTAGTCTGATTTTCAAAAAGTAATTCAATTATTCACTCATAAAACGTGTTTCATTGCTAGATGGATAATTTTTGAGGAATTATTCAGTGGCATATTTTTAATGCCCATCTATTGGTTAAATAATGTAATTGCTGCCTACAACTTTTATTTTTTAGCGTCAAGTTAAATGCTTATGATGGTGTTTTTAATCTTTACCATAAACATCAGTGATTTACCATGTATCACCAGGGCTTGACATTAACTTTTTTGATCACCAGCCACTGTGGCTGATAGTTGTGCAACGTAACTAACCACTCACCGTTTTCAATAGCCACAAGTTTGTTGTTAGATAAATATATTTTATGTGCAAAAATTTGATTTTGGCAAGCTAAAAATACTTGATTTAAATTGTGTTATACACCTCCTTAACTTTTTTATTAATATTATTTCCCATTACTTTTTAGGGCTCAACACTGAGTATACATACAAGAACAAAAATGTTCTTTAAAAAAAACAATTGACGTTTAAAAAAAATTATTCTCATTTATTTAAAGCTATACATAGTAATTTGCCCAAGCTAAAGACCCCAGATCATCAGATAACTACAGGTAAATGGATAAACAAAAATATTGACAAAAATAAAGTGAAAAACATTCTATGTGGGAAAGGATGATCATGCACACAGTTAACTTTAGGCCTATTAATAATCTGTTCAAAGAATGGTAAAAGCGAAAGCGATAACTGTTGGTGCATGAGCACAACTTTTTCCAACCTATTTCAAAGACAAACAAGTGCACCAGGGGACACAGTGGTGCAGTAGGTAGTGCTGTCGCCTCACAGCAAGGTGGTCGCTGGTTCGAGCCTCAGTGTTTCTGTGTGGATTTTGCATGTTCTCCCTGCATTTGCGTGGGCTTCCTCCAGGTGCTCTGGTTTCTCCCACAGTCCAAAGACATGCGGTACAGGTGAATTGGGTAGGCTAAATTGTTTGTAGTGTATAAGTGTGAATTAGTGTGTGTGGATGTTTCCCAGAGATGGGTTGCGGCTGGAAGGGCATCTGTTGCGTAAAAACGTGCTGGATAAGTTGGAAGGTCATTATGCTGTGGCGACACCAGATTAATAAAGGGACTAAGCCGAAAAGAAAATGAATGAATAAATGAATGAACAAGCGCACCATTTGCGTTTTCAGGCACAGTTGTTTTGGGAACTGGAGCTTTTAAGCACTCGCATGCTTCACCTTAGCTGTGCCTTGCTCACAACGTCAGCAAGCTAGATCGCCTGTGTCTCAGTGTGCGCCCAATTATCCTCTTATTCAGTATTCACCTGCTTTCTTTTGCTTGGGGGAACAGCTATCAATCATGCTACTTTTCGGTTTTAAGATCACATTTGCGCGCAAATTGACGATCGCTCCTAAACTAAATTTGTATACATAGGGATGAGGCAGGTCTGGCAACTTAATTATTTTCAACCAGGCGAAGTGGCTAGTGGAGGTGTCTGTCTAACCTGCCACAGCTAAAATCTACCAGCATTTGGCAGGCTAGTACTGCAGGTGTTAATGTCAAGCCCTGGTTATATTTAAACTATAAATTTAAACTTCTTCACACACAGATTTGAATGCAGCGATTCAGAGGATTAATAAACATGCAAACCACCATTATTTATAATGTATGTTCGTTGGTTGTTGAGATCCCGATTGTTGAGATCTCGATTTTTAATGGTTAATAGTCCAGCTTACACTGAATGCAATTACGCAGGCTAAACAAGTAGTGACAGAAAACACCTTTAATAACCTAAGAAACCCACCACATCTCTAATAACCTCCCACAACTTCTTCTGTCATCATTACAATTTACAGGAAAGCCTAAATGCTTTCATATGTGTGATTTAAATGATGCTAAAGATGATCTCTCTGTGATCGTTACAAATTTAGTAAAGTTAAAAAAAGTATTAATCTGCAGGTCGCATGTGTTCTGAACTGTGGGTTGTGATCAGTACGAATCACGGATCAACTGTGATCCGTTACACCCCTAATTGGTATGTAATATGTACTTCTCTATATAGATCTTGTCCAAAAAAAGTAATAAGTTGCTGTTGTGGCAATAAATAAACAAAGAAATGCGCACAGCTGTACGAGCATTGAGGGTCAGTAAGACTCCTATAAATTGTTAAATAATATATAAATAATACATTATAATTCATGATATCATTAACAGGCTTGGAAAAATTAGAAGAGCTCTCATTTAAATTAATATTTTTTATAGGATGCTTTACAATATTATATTTGTGCATGTACATTAGTTTAGTCAGTACTGAAGCCAAATCTGGAGCTAATCTAACAAAATAACTTACAATAATGGTTCAAAAGTTTGCAGCCCAATTTATATGTTTAACAAAAAAATATTAAATAACATTTTCAAATATAGCTAAAATCAAGAGAAACAAAAAAAATATTTACAAATTTGTTGAAATGTTGTAATTTGTAATTTTATTTTCTTTATTTCTAAAGATGTTCTGTAACTAAAATATTATTTTAAAAATATATCCGTTTAATAAATATGTTTTGTTCAAATGCACCTAAATACAGAGTAAGTCAGAATTATTGGCCCCCCTGAACTATTAGACCCCCTGTTTATTTTTTTCCTCCAATTTCTGTTTAACAGAGAGAAGTTTTCTTCAATACATTTCTAAACATATTAGTTTTAATTACTAGTTTTATTAACTGAATTATTTTATCTTTGCCATGATGACAGTACATAAAATATAAGATATTTTTCATTTTTCACTTCTATACAGCTTAAAGTGACATTTAAAGGCTTAACTAGGTTAATTAGGTTAACTAGGCAGGTTAGGGTAATTAGGCAAGTTATTGTGTAATTATGGTTTGTTTTGTAGTTCAGGGGTTCCCAATTTTTTTAGCCCGCCACCCACAAAATGACAATTCCAGTAATTCGTGACAGCCAATATCCTCTAAGGTGGTTATAAATATACAGAAACCTTGCATGCAATGACACACCCACACCAATAGACCCAAGTCCATTCTTTGTTTAATTTGTTTAATGTATGTCAGTGCTGTAAATTGGCCAGAAAATTTTACCTGGTGCCATAAAATCAATCTGCTGCATCTGACACTATTGCTGTGTCTTTAATATTATTTAACTACCCCAGGGGTTATATCCAATAGAACTAGTAACTATAAGCTACTATAGTAACTATATAGTAAATAGTGTCTTTAAACGACTTTGTTTTCCCCTCTTCAGTAGGCTATGGATAAAATATGGTAATTCTAATGGTTTATTAAAAATAAATAGATTTATCATCCATGTCCCGCTTCATTGTCCCACGACCACCCGGGGGGTCCCGACCCTCACTTTGAGAATCACTGCTGTAGAGTATCGAAAAATATAGCTTAAAGCGGCTAATAATTTTGTCCTTGAAATGGTTTTTAAAACATTACAAACTGCTTTTATTCTAGCCCAAATTAAACAAACATGATTTTCTCCAGACAAAAAAAAAAATATTATCAGGCATACTGTGAAATTTTTCTTGCTCTGTTAAACATCATTTGGGAAATATTTAAAAAAGGGGGGTCAATAATTCTGACTTCAACTGTGTATATACATTTTTTTAAGCTTATGTCATTTTAATGCCAGTTGCACTAACAAACATCAAATGTGGACGATTACCAGTTTACACCAACATTTTTAACACGATTAATGCATTGAAATGAATAAATAAATGTATATAATCACTAAAATCAATGAATAGCACTACTAAATAAAGGAAGAAGCTGTTATTATTTTGAAAATAGACATACAGAACTTACTCGTTCTTCATTATTGAAAAAGAAAAACCAATTTGTGATTTGTAGTTGTATTGTAATAATCATTTGAAAAAGCATTTTAAAGCATGTCCATTTTTAAATGATTTCAGACATCGTTTTCATTCAGAACATATTATTAGACATATTTAAAAAGGTTTCTCTTGCAATATCATTGAAATGATTTTTAATTAAGTTGAAAAAAATATATAATTCTTAATTTTGTTGCTCATTTATTAGTTTATTTTACCATGTATATTTTTGAGGGCAGCACGGTGGCTCAGTTGTTACTGTCGCCTCACAGCAAGAAGGTCGCTGGTTCGAGTCCCGGCTGAGCAAGTTGGCAGTTCTGTGTGGAGTTGGCATGTTCTCTGTGTGTTTATGTTGGTTTCCCCCTGCTCCAGTTTCCCCTGCAGTCCAAAGACAGGCTATAGGTAAATTGAATAAACTAAATTGGCCGAAGTGTTTGTGTGTGTGAAGGAGTGTATGGGTGCTTCCCAGTACTGGGTTGTGGCTGGAAGGGCATTCGCTGCGTAAAACATATGCCGGAATAGCTGGCGAATTCATTCCACTGTGGTGACCCCCTATTATATAAGGGACTAAGCCAAAGGAATATTAATGAATAAATGTATATTTTTATATACTGAATATTAAATATTTTGTTGGAAACAAACAGTGAGTGACACTTCAAAATGACCATTGCCGATGCATGCAGTGCTGCCGCAGCACTAAGGAATTAAGAGCATGTTTTTAAGAGTAACAGCAGTTTGTGACTATGCCTGGGGGGCTCAAAAGGACGGGATACGAAATATACAGTAACTTGTAAATGAAGATGAAACAACGAAACAAAGCATTATAAGTCCTTCAATAATCATTAAAAACTTGTTAACAAACTTTATTATCATTTTAAACTTAAGTGAAATGAGGATTCATTTTGGAAAGTAAAATTAAAGAAATAAAAGACAACTAAAATGAAAGTACAAACATACATACTCACACAAATAAATGAATGAATTAATTAAATAAATATAATAATAATACTAATAAAGCAGTGTTTTAGCCTCAATATAGAGAGATGCGCTGGGTTTGTTGTTTTTAAATGATAGGACAGTAATTAAATAAGCTTTTTCATTTACGTTTTCATTTACAGTTTTTTATTTACATTTCTGTACTTTTTGAATGATGGAAATACCTTCTTTATTAACTGTTTTTATTATCTATTTCATTGATAGAATACAGCATGTCATAGATTCCATACAATGACAAAAACAGACATTTTAGTAGGGATCCTCTCTAAATCATATTATAGGCATTCATGTTTGCTCCAAAAAACAAAAAAAAAACAAATAACTACGCACATTCTATTATACAGATCTATTAAACAGATCTTTGAGCCATATAACGTGTAATTTACATGTGCAAATTAATGTTAAAGGTATCGAGTTCCTACACCATCTGTATGTGAATGCCTGTCCTGAATATTGATTGTGTTAATTGTCACAGGATCACGGTTATGTGCAGATTCACACACCAGTCATCACCTCGAATGACTGTGAGGGAGCTGGAGAGCTTTTCCAGGTCGAGGTGCATATCATTTACATCATTACCCTCTTCTTTTTGAGTGAATTGTACAAAGCAAAATATAGCGCATATATGCTTTTGCTGATCGCTCTGTGTGTGTGTGTGTTTTCTGAAGCCTACAGGGGATAAAAAGGACTCAGATGACCCACATTTCTTCTCTGTGCCAGCTTATCTAACAGTCTCAGGACAGCTGCATCTGGAGGTGATGGCAGGGTAAAGACAGACTTCTTAATCGCACTACATTCTTATTTAAAGCTTAATTATCTGGGCTGTCAATATATTAACTTTATTAATTCTAATTCAGAATTCCGTGATGGCATTGGCTGGGAATTTGTGGCTTTTATTTTGTAATTAACACAGTCAGCAAATTGTATAGCGAATCATACGCATCTTTGGTGGTTTTAGTTTTGCTTTAACAAGTTTATTATGATCAAGGTATTGGGTTGTAGATAGTACAAAATAATCTATTAATTTACATCTATAAAATAAAAAAAACAACTAAATAGCTCACAATAATTCAACCACAATAATTTATTCAATCAAATGGTGTAGGGCCTCCTTTTGCAGCCAATACTGCATGAAGCCATCTTGGGAATGACAGATACAAGTCCTGCACAGTTGCCAGAGGGTTTTTGAGCCATTTTTCTTGCAGAATAGTTGCCAGATCACTTTTTGATGCTGGTGCAAGAAAGCCGTTGCTGACTCATTCATTAATTTTCTTGTCAGCTTAGTTCCTTTATTAATCCGGGGTCGCCACAGCGGAATGAACCGCCAACTTATTCAGCAAGTTTTTACAGCCGCAACCCATCTCTGGGAAACATCCACACACACATTCACAGACACACTCATACACTACCGACAATTTAGCTTACCCAATTCACCTGTACCACATGTCTTTGGATTGTGGTACAAACTCGAGCACCCAGAGGAAACCCACGCGAAGGCAGGGAGCACATGCAAACTCCACACAGAAACACCAACTGAGCCGAGGTTCGAACCAGCGACCCAGCGTCTTTCTTGCTGTGAGGCGACAGCACTACCTACTGCGCCACTGCCTCGCCCCCGTTGCTGATTCGCTCCTCCAAAACACTTAAAGTGGCTCAATAATATTTAGGTCTGGTGACTGTGCAGGCCATGTGAGAACTTTGCCTTCATGCTTATCAAGCTACTTTGTCAACAGTCTTGCTGTGTGTATTGGTGCATTATCATCCTGATACACGGCACCACCTTTAGGATATTTTGTTTTATCATTGGGTGCACCTGGTCCTCCAGAATGGTTCTGTAGTCCATTCTAGAGGGGATGCACCCATGTAGCACAAATCTTTAGCTTATGGAATGCCATAATATTGCAGCCTAAACCATCACTGATCCACCACCATGCTTCACTCTGGGCATGCAGCAGTCTGGGTGGTACTGTATACTTGCATGGGGCTTTTCCACACCTTAACTCTCCAAATATATATGATTAATTTGAAATATTTAACGCAGTTAAATAATTATACGCAGTTGCATTTTTTTTTCTTTTCCTGTTGTGGTCGACGTGTGTTCAGGGATGGTGTGTGCATAGAGGCAACCTAGCCTTGGGCAGCAGAATAATGAGCGAACCCCCCCGGTCTTAACTTTCACTTTCAGCTACACCGACCCTCTACCTCACAGTCCTCGCTTTTATCAGCAAAAAAGTTACTTTCTTTTTTCACTTTCGGGTTGAGGGCGGCGTGATTGTCGTTTTCCTAGAGTGCCAGTTCAGCTTGCTCTGGCCCTGCGTGTGTTTTACGTGCAAAGAAATTTGGATAACACAAAGGACGCACTTTTAGAAGAAAAGTTTCAGTATAAAACAATTAATGTGGCATCACCAGGCTATCCTGCATGGAGTTTCATGCAATTCTGGGTGTTTCATTTTTATTCTTTAAACTTTAACTGCAGTTCTGCAGGTCACTCTCATCCAGCATATTTTCCTTTAGGATGTTTTACTGGAATTTGATACCGCATGGCGAACGGAAAGACATGCATGATCCTTTAAGGTAATCAAAAATTGCTGCTTACATGGTAAACTCTTAATCAGTTTTATCTTAATCATAAAAGCAGAGTATTGGTGTCGATGTAAATGTACTCAGTGAAAATGGCAGATGAAGTCACAAGCTGTCAAAGACAGCCCCATTCTCTGCCTTTATGAGCCCTCACATTTCATAAGTTTCACGTTGCTATGTCAGAATCCTTGCTTGTAAAATACAGCCATACTTTAGAACGCTTAGTTTAAGCAAATTTGATGAAGGTGATCATGCGTGTTGATAAATCTGAAGGGATACCTCCCTCACTCCAAGGATCCTCTGTACTGCGCGTGTTGTGCGTGCGTGCGTGCGTGTGTGCGTGCTTGCGTGCGTGCATGCGTGTGTGTGTGTAGTCCACTTAAAATCCAACATGTAAATTATTTTTGTTTGTTATTGGCCTTGATTGTTTTGAAATTGAAATGGCATTTAATGCCTGTGCTTCTATTTCTGTAATACATACAGCGTTTCATGATTAATCATGATTAACCTTGATTAATTACAAAAAAGTGTGATTAATTATGTTAATTTTTTTAATCATTTGACAGCCCTAATATATATATTAGGCTCAGCTCCCACGTCTCTCAGCCATGCCCCTTCACAACAATAATGATTTCCAGGAAATACAGTTATTTACAAATTTTGTGTAAATGAAAGCATTGAATATACCAATTTTTTTTTAACTAGCAACAAAAAATATATATATATATAAATAAAAAATATATAATCTTTTGTAATCAAAACAAAACCATTCTAGATCACCTTAAGTATTATTTTGTGTTAAAAACTCTAAAGAATTAGAAGCATGTACACAAAAATGAAAGTACTTATTATAGAGCTGTAACTTTAGAAGTGTTCTTTGCTAAAGCTAAATGCTAATCTATGTTGTGAATGATATGTTTGTGCCTGTTGCAGTGCCTTTTCAGCTGTGTACACATTTGGACCCACGTTCAGAGCAGAGAATTCTCAAAGCAGGAGGCACTTGGCTGAGTTTTATATGGTAGAGGCAGAGATCGCTTTCACAGAGTCACTAGATGACCTTATGAAGGTAAAACTCACAAAAGGAATGAAATCATTGTAGGGTAAAAGACACTATCAATCGCTTTCTAATTGGTCTTCAAAATGATTGTGTATTGTTTGCTGATTCGTCAAGTCTCTCTCATATGACCATTACACAATCGGTAGACTGCAAGTACAGATGTACTTGTGTGCATACTCTGAGCATCGCATATGATGCACTTTATTCTGTGTGGACTAAAATAATTTTTCTGAAATGCAGTAAAAACTATGAAAGCTTGTTCCTGCCACTGAATAAAAAAATAAATACAGTTTAAAAAATATATATAAATCAGAATTCTGAGTTATAAAATCAGAATTCTGAATTATAAAGTCAGAATTGCGAGTTAAGAATTCTGAGTTATAAAGTCAGAATCGTGAGTTATAAATTCAAAATTGCAAGTTGTTAAGTCAGAATTGCGAGTTATAAAGTCAGAATTCTGAGATTTAAAGTCAGAATTGCGAGTTAAGAATTCTGAGTTATAAAGTCAGAATCGTGAGTTATAAATTCAGAATTGTGAGGTATAAAGTCAGAATTCTTGCTTTATGTCACGCAATTCTATGATAAAGCCAATTGCGAGTTATAAAGGGTTTTCTGATATAGTGACTATAATTGTGAGTTATAAATTCAGAATTGCAAGTTATTAAGTCAGAATTGCAAGTTACAAAGTCAGAATTCTGATTTTAAAGTCGCAATTATGGGGTAAATTGTCAGAATTCTGAGTTATAAAGTCAGAATTGCAAGTTATTAAGTCAGAAAGAATTGTGTTATAAAGTCGCAATTCTGGGGTAATAAGTTAGACTTTAGAGTTATAAAGTCGCCGTTTTGATTAATTAAGTCAGAATTGCGAATTATAAGTCAGAATTCTGAGTTATAAAGTCAGAATTGAGTTATAAAGTCATAATTCTGAGCTATTTAGTCATAATTCTAAGTTATAAAGTCAGAATTCTGAGTTATAAAGTCGGAATCGTGAGTTATAAAGTCAGAATTGCATGTTGAGTAAGAATTCTGAGTTATAAAGTCAGAATTGTGAGTTATAAAGTCAGAATTGCAAGTTGAGTAAGAATTCTGAGTTATAAAGTCAGAACCGTGAGTTATAAAGTCAGAATTGTGAGTTATAAAGTCAGAATTCTTGCTTTATATCACACAATTCTGTGATAAAGCCAATTGCGAGTTATAAAGGGTTTTCTGTTATAATGACTGTCCATCAATGGGGCGTTAAAGACACATGCACATTAGCCCCTAATAAAAACAAAAAGCTTTTATACGACTGTTTATTGTTTATCACACTTTCAAAAAGGAAATATGTAGGTCGAACTAGGCTGTTCATTCGTATGGATTTGATCATTATGAATTATGCCACTTATTTCACCATTTGGTCTAAATAGCAGTTATAAAGCATTAAACAGAGCATCTAAAACAATTAGTTGTGTGATTGCTCTAAAAGGCTAAAATTATGACTTCTATATTATTTATCTCTTTGTGTTGATATGATTTACATTTAGTTGCAGCCGTTGTTTCATGATGTAAGGGTGCCCTCATGTGGTGTACTTGGAGCTGCAGACACATGTATTGTACATTATGGGCTAAAACTAAAAGGGCTGTATTAGTTCATATTGCAATTCAGTAAAAGTGTCAACCAAATATTGTGTAATCCTGAGAGGGGTATGCCTGCAGACTCGGTGCAGATGCAATCTGAACTGCATCTAAAGCTTTTTAATGCACTCACCTAACCCCACCCCTAACCCTACCCCTCACAGTGACGTCACTATCTCCACTGAGTGCATTGTGTCTGACACTGCATCTCTGGGCAATGCAATCTCAGCTTGCATCATAACAGCTGCATCCAGATACTATTGGTCCTTCTGCCCTCTTATTGGGAAAATTGGGCTGTAAATTCATATCAGATCACAAGCAGAGAACCTAAAGAAAGAGTCACTCCATTAATGGCCAGTCGTGATAACAGGAAACTTCTTTATTACTCACAATTGTGACTTTATATCTCAGAATTCTGACTTAATAACTCGGAATTTTGACTTAATAACTCAGAATTGCAACCTTATACCTCAGAATTGTGACTTTATATCTAAAAATTCTGACTTATAACTCGCTATTCTGACTTTATAACTCAGACTTCTGACCTAACTCGCAATTTTGACTTTAGAACTCAGAATTCTGACTCAATAACTCGCAATTCTGACTTTAGAACTCAAAATTGCAACTGTGTAACTCAGAATTCTGACTTAATAACTCGCAATTCTGACTTTATAACTCAGGATTCTGACTTTATAACTCAGAATTCTGGCTTAACTCATTGCGACTATTATCTCAGAACAATAATTTGCAATTCTGACTTTATAACTTAGAATTCTGACTTAATAACTAAAATTTGGGACTAAATAACTCAGAATTGCGGCATTATATCTTAAAATTCTGACTTATAACTCGCAATTCTGACTTAACTCAGAATTGCTACTTTATATTTCAGAATTCTGACTTAATAACTTGCTATTCTGACTTTATAACTCAGAATTCTGACTTTATAACTTGCAATTCTGACTTTATACCTCAAAGTTCTGATTTAATAACTTGCAATTCTGACCTAATAACTCAGAATTCTGACTTTCTAACTCGCAATTCTGTCTTTATAACCTGTAATTGCGACTTTTTAACTCAGAATTGCGACTTTATATCTAAGAATTATGACTTATAACTCGCAATTCTGACTTTATTACTCACAATTGTGACTTTATATCTCAGAATTCTGACTTTATAACTCGCAATTCAGACTTAATAGCTCAGAATTGCAACCTTATAATCCGGAATTTTGACTTAATAACTCGGAATTTTGACTTAATAACTCAAAATTGCAACTTTATAACTCAAAATTGCAACTGTGTAACTCAGAATTCGGACTTAATAACTCGCAATTCTGACTTTATAACTCAGGATTCTGACTTTATAACTCAGAATTCTGGCTTAACTCATTGCGACTATTATCTCAGAACAATAATTTGCAATTGTGACTTTATATCTCAGAATTCTGACTTTATAACTCGCAATTCTGACTTTAAATTTTTAATTTGAGTAATTTCGTAAGTCGGGATCTCCCATTTTTGTTTGTTTACACACCTTTTACATTCACAATCATCTTAATTATACACTGTGCAAAAAAAAAAAAAAATCATAATGGGGCACTTAAGTTGGATTGATCATCAACAAGTCATACTTTGTTCATCTTAAAGCTTGTTTTTCATCTCCAGGTAATGGAGGACTTATTCAAGGCTGCCACAGAGCATGTGTTTTCAAATTGCACAGAGGATGTGGAGTTATTTCACAAACATGTGGCACCAGGACATCGGGTATGATGAGCAAAGCTTTTATTAGAGCATTGAGTGTTTGTGCAAAACAAATGTTGGTAATAATAAACTCCTTTTCATCCCCAGGAGCAAGTGGATCCCATGTTGAACAGAAAATTTAATGTGTACGTATTATTTTTCAATTTTGTCTTCATTTCCCAGATTTAGCTCACTGTACTTTTCAAAGTAGGCACTGCAAAAACACTACATTATTTTATTAGATCTAAAATATGCTGAATATAAGCCTATTGTTATTAAATCATATGACTAACTGTCATCGCTCTTGTAAATCTAAATTGAGTTATATTTGCTATCTCCAGCATTTCTTACACCGAGGCGATAGACATTCTCAAGAGCAGCTCACAGAACTTCACATTCAGCCCTGAGGCAAGTACAGAACAGCATTAGTTGTGTACACTAAAATTTACATCGCAGCTTAACCTATGTAATGCATTATGATATATAATAGAATGATGAATTGTGATTAAACATTTAATTGACTGTTTTGCTCATATATATTTTTTCCCCTTTTTAAGAATTGTCTTGTATAAAGTATTCAATAGGACCATATGTTTTTTTTTTTTATTATTATATATAATAATATTTCTAAATATTAATGAAATAATACACAAAGTATACACACTATATGTAAATACATATTTTGTATTTATTAGCCCTCCTGTGAAGTTAAAATATAATGTTTTTTTATATATCTTAATTGGTTCTCTTCATATCTGAAGTAAAGGATAGAACTATATCAGTCAGTTTGGGCAACTCTTGTTCTTCTGTCATTCAATTAATGTGTGGGGTTACACAGGGCTCGATACTGGGTCCTGTTTTGTTTTCCATTTACTTACTTCTGTTGGGAAAAATATTTGAAAAGCATGGCATAAATTATCATCTAAATGCTAATGACTTTCAAATCTACTTCCCCATAAAATGGGGATCAATGCTCCCTTTAGGCTTTGTCAAATTGTTTGACTGATGTGAAGAGTTAGTTAGCGAATAACTTTCTTTTACTGAACAAGGACATACAGTTGAAATCAGAATTATTAGCCCCCTTTGAATTTTTTCCTTTTTTTTTTTTCATATTTTCCAAATGATGTTTAACATAGCAAGGAAATTTTCACTTTGTCTTTTTATTCTGAAATTTTTGAAATTTTTTTTTTCTGGAAAAAAGTCTTATTTGTTTAATTTTGGCTAGAATAAAAGCAGTTTCAAAGTTATACTTTTTTTAAACACCATTTTAGGGACAAATCTATTAGCCCCTTTAAGCTAATTTTTCCTTTATAAACTACAGAACAAACCATCGTTTTACAATAATTTGCCTAATTACCCTAACCTGCTTATTTAACCTAATTAATCTAGTTAAGCCTCTAAATGTCACTATAAGCTGTATAGAAGTGTCTTGAAAAATATATAGTAAAATATTATTTACTGTAATCATGGCAAAGATAAAATAAATCAGTTATTAGAAATTAGTTATTAAAACTATTATCTTTAGAAATGTGCTGAAAAAAAATCTTCTCTCTGTTAAACACAAATTAAGGAAAAAATAAACAAGCAGTCTAATAATTCAGGGGGGCTATTAATTTTGACTTCAACTGTATGTGAATTGATTGTTTTTGGTCAAAAAGGTTCAGATTGTAATGGCAATCTGTTGATGCTTCCTTGAAAATGACATTCCTCTGTTAAAAAGTCTTGTTGTTGTCTTTGACTCTTTAAATTGGATCACCAAATTAATGTGATTGTCAAAAATAGTTGTTTTTTTTCTATTTTTTTTCTATATCTATTTTTTCTATATATATTGCCAGGCTGAAGTGTGTCCTATCTTTCAGTGATTTGGAAAAGGTGGTTCATGCCTTTGCTTCTTCTCATCTGGATTGTTGCAATGCATTGTATCTGGGTGTGAGACAGGCCTCTCTCTTGTGACTGCAGCTGGTCCCAAATGCAGCTGCTGGGCTTTTAACAGGCACCAAAAAACAAGAACACATTACACCTGTACTGGTTTTCCCTACACTGGCTACCAGTCCAGTTTAGAATTTATACAAAGTACTGCTGTATGTTTTTAAATCCATCCATAGCCTTGACCCTGTATATTTCTGAGCTAATTAATACACAACAACCCTTGAGACCTCTTTGCTTTAAAGATCAACTCCAATTATATTGTAGTACCAATTATAGTATTTATTATTTAATATTTTTGAGAAGGTCTTAAGTCTTTAATTTGGCCGTTTAAAATTTTTTGTAAAAAAATTAAATAAAATTTGGTTCAATATTTTTAGCCCCCTTTTCAGTTGGCTACAGAACAAAACACTGTTGCCTAATTAACCTAGCTAATATAGGCAAACCTTTAAATTGCACTTTAAGCTTAATACTAATCTACTATCTTGCAAAATAATTGATAAAATAATATACATGTACCGATCACTTTATTACATACAACGTACTAGAACCTGCTTTGAACCAGTACCTTTGTAACCGTTGCCACTGGTGCTGCGACAAGGACGTAAGAAGTATCAAGGCGTGCCTCAAAGGCACACATAGGTACGCATTGTTACACCATCTCTGAACATTTTATTCTAAACAACTTTGACGAATACGGACAGGCAATGTCAGGCAATTGTTCTTGTTGCTTAGGGAATGAACGCACGCAGTACAGAGCATTCGGTGAGCAAGAGGGAATCTTCAGATCAACACACAAGATCGCGTTCATCAAATTTTCCTTAAATTAGGATTCTAAAGCATATTTTAGCAAGGATTCTGACACAGCAATGTGAAGCAGATGCTTTACAAAAGTTGCGTGTAAGGGGGAAACTCGTCAAACTTTTTGAGGGCTCATGGAATCAACTTAAAGGCAGAGGAATTTACTCTGAAAGCTTGCGACATCATCTGTCAATTTCGATGAGTAGGTACATGGACACCAATGCTGCGATTTTAATATGATTTAGACAATACTCTGATAAAGAGTCTAGATTACCATTTAAACAGTGATTTTTGATAACCTTAAAGGACCACAGACACCTGCGTTGCGAATTGCTAAGGTTTTTTCTTTCCATTCACTGTGCAGTATCAAATTGCATTAAAAGAGCACACTTATACCAGTCCATCAAATACCTGTTTATCATGGGGGCATAAATGAGATGTTCCTGAATAAAAGTGAAACGGCAGTTAAAGTTGAAATATAAAAAATTAAACACCTGAAATTAAATGAAACTCCGGGGGAAACATGGATAATGTTTTGATGCAATGACGTTAGTCGATCTATGTACTATAACATGTAAGACGATATCATGAAAGGAACATCCAAAAAGCAAGTCATGTAAACACCTTGACCATATTATTGCCTTATTCAGATTAAGGCAAATCATTAGATTACTGATAACCATGTAAACACAGTCATAAGCCCCAACCCTAGAAAAAAAACGAGTTCAGTAATTTGATGACAGCCTTTTAACAGTAGTAAGCTAATGTAGTTTCATAATGCAAATCTTAAATTCATGCTAACCAACAAATGATCAAATTAAATATATCAACGCAATTCAAAATTTATAAAATATGAATTTATGTTTATTTAAAAACATTTTTTTAAAGATTTTGTCAAATAAAAGATTTTTCTAGAGTCATCCACCATAATTTTGTGGCTAAAAAGTATCAGTTCAGGCACTGTTTTGGCAACTTTACAGTATTAAAAGGATCATTTTAGCACTGATATTAAAATAACTCCAAACGATACCCAACACTAGTTGGACCCCCTCTTGCTTTTAGAAAGGCCTTAGAACAGTGGCTGCAGATTTGTCATGATTCATGATGGAAATCTCCCGTTTCACCACATCCCAAATGTGCTCTATTGGATTGAGGTCTGATGACTGTGGAGGCCATTTGAGTACAGTGAATTCATTGTCATGTTCAAAAAAACAGTCTGAGATGATTCACAATTTATGACATGTTATCCTGCTGGTAGTAGCCATCAGAAGATGGGCACACTGTGGTCATAAATGGATGGACATGGGCAGAAAACAATATTCAGGTAGGCTGTGGCGTTGACACAATGCTTGATTGATACTAATGGGCCCAAAGTGTGCCAAGAAAATATCACCACACCATTACACCACCCCCACCACCAGCCTGAGCCATTAATACATGGCAGGATGGATTCATGCTTTCATGTTGTTGACACCAAATTCTGACCCTACCGGCCGAATGTGGCAGCAAAACTTGAGACTTATCAAAACAGGCAACATTTGTCTAATCTGTTATTGTCAAATTTTGGTGAGCCTGTGTGAATTGTAGCCTCAGTTTTCTGTTCTTAGCTGACAGGAGTGACACCCGGTGTGATCTGCTGCTGTAGCTCATCCACCTTAAGGTTTGATGTGTTGTGTGTTCACGGATGCTCTTCTGCATACCTTGGTTGTAAGAGTGGTTATTTAAGGTTACTGTTGCCTTTCTATTAACTCCAACCCATCTGACCATTGTCCTCTGGCATCAACAAGGAATTTGTGCTTACAGAACTGCTGCTCACTGGATATTTTCTCTTTTTTAGACCATTCTCTGTAAACCCTAGGGATGGTTGTGCGTGAAAATCACAGTAGATCACAGTTTATGAAATACTCAGACCAGCCCATCTGGCACCAGCAACCTTGCCACATTCAAAGTCACTTAAATTACCTTTCTTCCCCATGTTGATGCTCAGTTTAAACTGTAGCAAATTGTTTTGACCATGTCTACATACCTAAATGAGCATTAAATGCATTTAATGCTCAAATATTTTCAACTTGATACTAAACTCATAATACAGCACATTATCACGATGAACTTAAGTAAGCTATAAGTTGATAATGAGACAATTTTTCAAAAACGTGGCAGGTCTAGTTCATAAAGCATTTTTTCTGCTTTTCTTTTACATCTATCCTTACTTTCTACCCCTTTCTTTTCTTTGCATTAGTGGGGCTGTGATCTTCAGACTGAACATGAGAAGTTCCTTGTTAAGCACTGCGGAAACACCCCTGTGTTTGTTGTAAACTATCCCTACGAGTTAAAGCCATTCTATGCCAGAGATAACCAGGACCACCCCAGACATACAGTAAGAATGAGCTCTTTTCAGCACTCTTCACAAACATTTACTAGTTAATAAGCATTCATGCCATGTCATATTTCAGTCAGTCAGGGGAAATGAACACTCACATGATAGAATATCAGTTGTCGTTTTTAAATTATAATGATTTTGACTGCATGAACGCAGAATACTGAGGTATGAAGTATGTTCATCTTGATTTTCTTCACCCCATGTGCTGCTTTTTGTTTTTTTAATCATTTTATTTTTGTATTTTTCGACAGGCAGCTGCTGTAGACCTCTTGGTTCCTGGTGTCGGGGAGCTTTGTGGTGGATCTCTGAGAGAAGAGAGACTACATCTTTTAACCCAAAGACTATCACAGTAAGAGTTTTTATTCTCATTTTTTAACAATTAATAATATAGGATGCACGATATAATAATTCAACACTTATGAGGCCCAAATATACAGTGCATCAGGAAAGTATTTATAGCACTTCACATTTTCCACAATTTTTTTGTTACAGTCTTATTCCAAATGGATTAAATTTATTTATTTTCGCAAAATTCTAGACACAATAGCCCATAATGACAATGTGAAAAAAGATTTTTTTGAAATTGTTGAAAATTATTAAAAAAAAAAAACCTGATTCACAGACTTTGGTTTAAAGCTCTGAATTGAGCTCAGGTTCATTCTGTTTCCACTGATCATTCTTGAGATGTTTCAGCAGCTAAATTGGAATTTACCTGTGGTAAGTTCAGTTGATTGGACATGATTTGAAAAGGCATACACTAGTCTATATAAGGTCCCAGGGTTGAAAGTGCATGCCAAAGCACAAACCAAGCATGCAGACAAAGGAATTGTCTGTAGACCTCCGAGACATTGTCTCGAGGCACAAGGCTGGGGAAGGTTACTGCTGCTCTGAAAGTTCCAGTGAGCACAGTGGCCTTTATCATCCATAAGTGGAAGATGATTGAAACCACCAGGACTCTTCCTAGAGCTGGCCAGCCATCTACGCTGAGTGATCGGGGGAGAAGGGCCTTAGTCAGGAAGGTGATCAATAACCCAAAGGCATCTGAAGGACTCTTAAGCCATAAGAAACAAAATTCTCTGGTCCGATGAGACTAAAATTTAACTCTTTGGAGTGAATGCCTGGCGTTACGTTTGGAGAAATCCAGGCAACGCTCATTACCAGACTAATACCATCCCTACAGTGAAGCATGATAGTGGCAGCATCATGCTGTGGGGATATTTTTTATTTGTTCCTATCCAACCTGATGGAGTTTGAGAGGTACTGCAAAGAGGAATGGGAAAAAATTCCCAAAGACAGGAGTGCCAAGCTTGTGGCATCATATTCAAAAAGACTTGAGGCTGTAATTGCTGCCAAAGCTGCATCAACAAAGTATTGAGCAAAGACTGTGAATACTTATGTACATATGATTTTTCAGGTTTGCAACATTTATAAAAAATCTGTTTTCACATTGTCATTATGGGGTATTGTGTGTAGAATTTTGAGGAATTAAATTAATGTAATCCATTTTGGAACTAGGCTGTAACATTAAAAAAATTGGAAAAAGTGAAGCGCTGTGAATACTTTCCGGATGCACTGTATAATATACTGTATCCACAGGTACATTTTATATTAGCAAATTTATCACCGATTAATAATGTAAACATTTTTTTTATTATTTAAAAATAGACAAATAGGCAATTGTGGAATGTGAAGCTTTCTAGATGGTGCACATGTTTTATTACTGCAAAATAAAACTAAAGATGCCACTAAAATTTGCCACTAAGGTGAGCACAAAAATACCCCTGCAAAATGAATGTAAAATGACAGTTTGTGGCATTACATTTAGATGTTCATGCATTGCATCATTGCGTTTGTTTTTCTGCTACTGAACCTTATAACCAGTCACACACAAGCTTATGAGCACAGTAGACCGTCAGAGGTGTTTAGATCATTTACCACTAAACTCAAAATGTAAAATGTACAGTTTTAAACTGATTTTGTGATTTGACCGAAGCATAAGTTAAATTTATTAAATTAAAATGACAACACAGATGCATTTAAAGGTGCTTTGACTCCACTGAAGCATAAAAAAGGCACAATATGTTTGCAGATATTTAAGAAACATGCTCGGTGAACATCAGGGCTTAATTTGAGCCGGATCTTGCCAGATTCTGTTCAGGAAAATGTCAGATATTTGTGTTTTGCGTTCTGGTATTTATTTTAAATGGTCTGGCATTAACTTGTGCGTGGTGTACACCTTCACTCACTCACACGCATACATGTGTGTTTAAAGCCTGTTTTAAAAAATAAATGTATATGCGCACATAAACACATGATGGCCTTCAACAATATTTTCAGCCAACTGGCTTTCTTAGGTTTACAATCACTCTCATTGGTGATTATTGTTTTGCACGCAGTGAGCAGCGAAAATAAATAATGGCATAGTGGCCTACCTAAATAATATTTGTTTTTTTCAAAATGGCATATAGGCCACGCCTGTTTTCATTTTTAAAACCTTGAGTAAGTCTGATAATGAGCTTGATCAAAAGAGATCTTGAGAGGCTGAAACAGCACGAATGGATGAGAATAGCAGGAGACAGACGCTAAACAATCTCAAGTCAGCCAGGCAACATGACAAAGGAGGTAACTGGGCTCTTCTTGAAGATTAGATTAGATTAGATTAGAGTGAGCCATTAAATTATTTGATTTTCACTTGGCACATAATAGTAAAGTGAACTGAATGGAGATTGTTCTTATATTTTATGTTTGCCGCTGCACGATTTTAATTCTGTGATTATCTGAATTATTCATGAATAAATAATCAAATCTTGAGTACATTGCATGACATGCTGAATAAAAGGTAAACTGTTTTTCCCTAGGGTGAAACTCTCTCCATATATCGAACATGCCAAGTTCTTTAAGCAGTCTTTGTATCATTTTAGCATTTGAAGTTTTCTTTCTGTTGGGACTAGTTGTATCAAGTCTGGGTTCAATGTGAACATTAAGGTCCCCACCTACTGTCAAAGTACCGTGTGACTCTGTAACTATCAAATTAAATATTTTCTTAAAGAATGTTTTTGTACTTCCTGGTGGAGCATACACATTAAATAATGTAATTTCTTTATTATCTAATTTCCCCCTAACTAAAATATATCTACCCTCTTTATCTTTAATTTCTGATATAAGTTCAAAGTTCACTGAATTAGGAATCAGAATAGCTACACCCCTCTTACGTCCTGATTTATGTGATGAATAGAAAGTATTTTTAAAGCCAAATCTCTTTAATTTCTCGTGTTCTTGAGGTGATAGGTGTGTCTCCTGCCAATTAATTATTTGTATTTTTTCTTGTTTCATTTTCGCAATTATCTTGCTTCTTTTAATTGGACTATGTATGCCATTGACATTCCTAAATAATATTTGTTTTTTTTTTCAAAATGGCATAGAGGCCACGCCTGTTTTCATTTTTAAAACCTTGAGTAAATCTGATAATGAGCTTGATCAAAAGAGATCTTGAGAGGCTGAAACAGCACGAATGGATGAGAATAGCAGGAGACAGACGCTAAACAATCTCAAGTCAGCCAGGCAACATGACAATGGAGGTAACTGTGAGCCATTAAATTATTTGATTTTCACTTGGCACATAATAGTAAAGTGAACTGAATGGAGATTGTTCTTATATATTTTATGTTTGCCGCTACACGATTTTAATCATGACTGACCTATAACGTTATATGGCTCAAATTATTGAAAGACCATTCAAAAATGTGATGCTTTTTTTTTTCGCTATCACTGTTTAATGACGTCATGTACTGGGAAAACTGAAATTGTTTGATGGACGTCAGTCAATGTAACTTTTACTTCCTGGTTTTGTTCTGGAAATTATTCATTTACAAATTAATCACTGGTGAAAAAGAATGCTAAAGTAAGTTATTCTCCTTTAAAATATGCATTCCGTGCTGGAATGTCTGTCCTTGTTTTGCTCTCTTTGTTCCACCTGCTGCCTGATTAGGGTTGTCCTGGAAGAAAATGTACTGTATTTCATTTCAGTGTTGAAGGCTTCTTCAGTGTATTCAGCCATCTTCTGCGAGATAAAATGTTTTTTTTTTAATGAGCAAATAATATAAATATTACAAATGTAAACATTAGCTGAGCAGCGTAAATTGTAATTCCATACCCTAACAACACGCAAAGCGACAAGATTCTAGTGACAAGCAATTTAAATGTCTGCACCAGATGCAACATGAGAAAAACATTTAAAAGCATTCATTCAGAGGCACAGAATAGTGCATTCAGCAACTAAATGGTAGTTTAGTGGTAATGTTTAGAATCTAATTAATACGTATTAATTCTCTTCAACGTTATTAAAAGTACATGCTGAGTAATTTTCTAATACTTTTGTCATCATTGTCAACTATCTGCTGCTGCTTTCAATATGGCAACAAATGTCACGTAAAAAATGTCAATCAAACTGACCATTATCATTTACCATTAAAAAAGCGCACATGATCAGTAGCTGAGGTGATCATTGTCTTAGTAGTTTATGCTGTCGTTTAGCCATGAGATATTGAAATTAGGGTTCTGTCAATAGACGATGCCATCGTTCATCGCTGATGGCCAGTATCACAATGCTGAGCTGGCATTGCCGATCCTCCGCCCCGCCTGCGTCGCAAACCCGCTTCGAAAAAATACACACTTAGGCCCTGTTTACACTAATACGTCTCAGTTTTATAAACAAAAATAATAAAAATAAAATTTTAGAACGAAAATTATCCACGTCCACACTGGTGTTTCATCTAGCATTTCGGAACTGCCCTCCGTCCGCTAAAAACACACACACAAACACACAGCCACACGCACACAAACACAGCTGCACACACACACTTCTATGCGCTCGGCTGAGCTCCATAGAGCAGTGCACGTCAGACAGTTTGTCAAGGATGTATCGCTGGATGGTGTCTCACTATAGTTGTTAAAGGAGATATTTAATTAACCTTTTCTCTATATAACCACTCTTCAGCCTTTTGAATCTATCATGTAACTTATCACAGCATCAGCACACTGCTTCAATCTTTCACTTTTACTTTTGTACTTAGCGAAAATCTCAGATATTGTTCGTTGGTTCCTGTGGATGTTCAACTTTATACCAATCGAGTTTGTCGAGACCATTATAACGACACAGGTCACTCTGCCTATTCATGCCAGAGTCCTGCGGAAAAAGTGATTGACAGGTAGTAATTTGTGTGAACTTATTTTATTTATGATTTGGTTATGGGTAAAACAAAGACTATGCGGGTCAGGTAGTTAAAATAGTAGGCTACAAATAAATATTTGTTATGCAATAATTAAGTAGTCATAAATGATTAATTCATCTTCGCCTATGCCATCGTCCATCACGATATTTCACATTAGACATCGTACGATGCCAAATTGGTTGACATCGCCCAACCCTAATTGAAAACGTTTCTAAACATGATATTTCGGATGGTAGTTTGGACAAAAACTCCTATTAACATGGAAAACATTCATTTTTTCATATATTGTTGTAGGTGTTTAAACTATGGGCTCGATAGCAGCAACCTGCATTTGCATAATTTCAAAAGTATTTTGAATTTGAACTACAATAGCTAATTCAACCACCTTTAATAATTAAGGCAATTGTAAAAGTTGTACTTGTGAAACTAAACATTTGAAATCAATCCTGTTGTTGTGTCTTAATTCTTCTCTGACCCTGTTATGTTTGCCTTGTTTCACAGGGCTGGATTGGAGGACACATATGCATGGTAGGTTGATATTTACCAATCAAACTTATTTTATTCTTAACTGAGGGTATGTTTACTCTTTAACAACATCTTGAAAAAAAAAAAAAAAAAAAAAAATATATATATATATATATACATATATATATATATATATATATATATAATTTTTTTTTTTTTTTCCTGAGTGATTTTTGAAAAGTTATGCATACAGACAAAGGTAAAAATAATCCCATTAAAAACAGATGATCTAAAGCACCATATTCTGCATGACAGACCAATAAGTGGCAATGTCACTTTGTAAAGAAATACTTCTCACCCACACACATAAGTTGCATCCCAAATGGCACACAATGCACTTATGCACTATGTACTTATGCGCTTGCATACTCGACAGCATACTATATGTATGTAGTGTCGTCCCAAATGAAACACTAACGTTTTTTAACAAAGTGGAAATTCAAACCACTTCCCATATGACGTTAGACAGTTGCCAAATTAGTGAAATAAATGACCAAACTACTAAACAATACCTGCCATGATTATAACCGCGTTCACCATCGAGAGGTGGAATAATCACTCTCACTCTCGCTTTCACCATCCAAAACAAATAATCAAACATCAGTGGCCGAAAGCTCAGCCACTTCCGCTACGTGAGCAAAACTGCGGTCGTTGAGTCCGTGAAGTGTCCATCATTACACATTTCATTTAAATGGTTAAATAAGTGCATCATCTGGGTAATTAAAGTGCACTTATTATTTTTACTTTACAATGTGAGCACACAACTTATACACTATTTATACTACAAAATGGCATAGAATAGTGCCTAAGTATGTGATTTGGAACGCACCTATAGAACTCTGTTGTCTGCCATTTTTATTTTGCTTTTTAAGTATACTTTAAGTGAAGTACATGTAAACTAAATTGACATTTTTAGGCCACCAAAACACTGTTGTTGTGTATATAAATGGTCAAAACATGACATGTTTTCAGTTGTTAGTCAAAAATGCGGTCATTTAATATGTGTACTTTGTGACTAACAGGTATCTACAGCTGAGAGAATTTGGCTCCGTACCTCATGGTGGTTTTGGGATGGGGTTTGAGAGGTACCTGCAATGCATTCTGGGACTCAACAATATCAAAGATGCGATTCCATTTGCAAGGTTCTCGCACTCCTGCCAGCTTTGATGAAGTCTTATAAAATGAAAACAATGACTGAATGTGCTTTGTTATTTTTTATTTCTGATGGATGACATTTTGAAGCTTGTTTTACATTTCAAACGTGTTCTTTTTCTGATCGACATTTCAGGTCTTTAAGGCCGAATCCCAATACCAGTTTAGAGCCTGAAATCCTCCCCTTGGTCCTTTATAAAAAAAAAAAGTTAATAAAATAATAAGTCAGAAGGGGTAGGGATGAAAACATTCCCGTTACAAAAAATGGGACGTCACTATATATTATATATATATATAATGAATATATATGAAAAATATATGAATATATATGAAAAAGTGCCAAAAACGTGTTGCCATTTAAACAGAAGTAATGATTAACAGTAAATAAATAATTCAATAAAATAATGAAATAAATTAAAAAATTGTATTTGTGTAATGTAAATCTAAGCTATTAGTTAATATTTCCCTTTTAAAGAGAATAAGTGTTGTCAAAGGCTGCTCAAAATCTGCCTGAAAGGCACATTTAATCAACTATATTACAAATTGCTTTGTTATTTTTCTTTTTGGGTGTGCTCACGGCCTTCTTTCAACTAGGTGTACCTGGAAACTGTGAGTCGCACTGCAAGCCGTGCCTCCATTAGAAATAACGAACTTGCGCACGCAAAAGAATAACCCTTCGTTAAAAGCTTTTACTGTAGTTATATAGCCTCTGTGTACAAGCTCAGAACTTCAAACTAGCACATAGTATTTATAACTTTTAGTTACAGCAGTTTTGTTCCTTGCAGAAACGCTGTGTTGAGAAACCTTTATGATTAATAAACTGTGACAAATCGCGGGTAATAGTGAAATTGGTTAATCGTTGCATCCCTTAGTTGGAAAGTGACCAAAATCCAACGTGGAGCCAACATCTTAAGCCAACGTTATATTGACGTCAAATACTGACATTTATTCGTCAGGTATAGCAACCAAAATCCAACATCTGATACAAGTTATAGTGGTAACGTCCACATAACGTCAAGCTGTAACGTCATTAAATGTACATATTTAGTTGCTTTTCGGTTAGACGTTGGACATTGATTTTCATTTCCAAACAAGATGCAATGTTATGGAATGAAATCAATTCCAAAAGAATTGAATTAAAAAGCTTGTTGAATAAAAATAATGCACAGAATTAACAAGATCTTGCATTTTAATGACTTGAATTGCAGGGTTTGTATTTTTTGGTCCTGAAATTTAGCATAGCTGTTTATTTAAGCTGTGGATATTTCAACCAAAAAATTTCAAACACGTTTTTATACTTGTAAATTCAATAATTTATATTCAATTACCAGATTTCACTTTCAAAATATCCAAAACCCTTTAAAAATACAATGTATAATATTGAAAAGTCAATTTTTAGTTCATTTTATTTCAGTTTAAATATTTACTTCCATGTATTTAGTGGTTCAAATTTGACTGTTAAAATTCAACATTACATCCGGAACCTGCAGGAAAAGCAGTAGACTGCAGATTGAAGATCGCCAGCTGCTTTTTCACAGCAGGTGAAGATGGAATAATTTAAGATTTTTAAGCCAGTAAAAAGGCAGGAAAAAAATTAATGCTAAAAAAGGCACAAAAGTAGCAATTAATATTAATATCAATGTCTTGGACATTATAAGTAATAATGAGTATGAGTAAAATGAGTAAAGGATGTTTTGGTCATCTATATATGCCGTATGTAACAGAAGCCAGCTGGTGATCGCATAAACAGCAAACCTCACTGCTCGGATCCAGCAACAGATGTTGTTCTGCAATCTTTAGCCTCATCAGAGCATTTGTCTCCCATGCCTGTATAGATGAATTACCAACCTATGTTACGAATGACGTTACACGGGTGCAAAAAAAGACCAGCTGCAATAGCAAACATGTCGTGTTGTGTTGAGTATTTGTAATTTGTTCCTTTACACCACTGGATACAAGATTTACAAGAGGACAGGCAAGTCTGGGTCTGGAGGCTCTACATTTAGGGTCACCAACAATATTCCTGGATCAATACCTTGCTGCAGAATTCCACCCAAATACTGTAGGTATAACTGCAGCCTGGGGACCTTCAAGTGGAAGGGTTTACACCGCAAGTAATGATGGGAAACACAAAGGGGGAGGGACTTATACTACAAGTAGGCTGGGTTTAGGTGGTGTAGCTGGAGTAGACATAAATAAAACCAAAACACTAAATAAAAAAATAAAAATAAAAAAAAAATTAATCTGGATCAAATTTGTCCAGAATTGACAATTGTTTTGCTATCCAGGCTTAACTGAACCATCTTTCTTTTATGACAGTTTTTAAAAGAACATTGGGTTGGATCACTGTGATCCAATTACCACATTTTAGGATTACAAAATCCTGTATACCAGAGCCTTAAATGGAACCAATAGTGTAGCCTACTAGCTTAGCATAGATCAACAGGTAGCCAAAATACCAGTTTCCACAAACAGCCATTGTTTGTTTTGATGGTAAGAAATAGAAACATTGCAATTAACGAACATTTTACATGTTTTAGTTTATTCTAATACAATACTGCTTTGATTTTGTTTGGTTGTTGTTGTTTACTATACTGTATTTCATTAGATATGGCATGCTTCATAAAGGCTTTAAATATTTAAAAAATGTATATGTCATCAGTAACCATTAAGTTTGTGGTCATTCACTTAAAAAATAACATTTTTACATTTTATTTGGTTTTAAAAAAATCCTAATTAATTCCACCCTTCTGATAGATCCCAATTTAAGTTCAAAGTTTTAAAAACCCAAAGGGCAGGTTTGATCCAAACCAAATGGAACACTGGATTACATGGTCGGATGTTAATTCAAAATCCGTCTGTTAATTTTGAAAAACCTATTTCCAAGATTTGATCGAATTTATTATCCAAAATCCCAATGTACTACTTTTGGAAAACTGGGCCCTGGTTACTGTGAGGTAAGGTTTAAGGTTGAGGTAGGTGTAGATATTCATAAAGAACAATATTGGACTCTGTCATGTACAAAACATCGAATCAAAAACTCCAGGGGCCTCATGTATCAACACTGCGAACGCACAAAAGCTTTGCGTACTCCAGATTTTGCACTCACGCTTGAATTTACTAACGATGGAATTAACGTGAGAATGTGCGTTGGTCCACGCCAACTTCATGTCTGGCGGACGTGCATTTCTTGTGTGTGTTTGTTTTATTTCCATTGGCAACTCCTAGAGACAATTATGTTAAATTCTACACTACAAAGTATATTTGAGCCGTGCAATGGCAGCTGTATGGAACGAGATTATCCGCATGTCTAGTAGGTATATAAGGTTTCCAAACCATACAGTTGACCAGCAAACATTAATGTTTTCCCAATATAATCGGACGCACCATCTGAATTTGCATACGCGAATCAAAAAACATTTCTATTCAATAAATATGCAAATGTGATGCTCAAATAAGCGTAACAACACACACTTATTAATGATTCCTACTTGTCTTCCTCGTGATGAAGAGTAGGCAAAATCTGATGTGGTGGAAAAAAAAGAATGAGTTCATCAGACGCCAGGTTCATGCTCAATCGTGTCAAAACATGTTGCCGTGCGCTTTACGAGCTACAGTTACCACAGTTTTCTCAGGTCCACCTCCGAAAGGAGCACCTCCAATTCACATTCTGTTCAAAGTTTCTCTTTTTGCTTGCCATTACTTTTTCGTTTGGTTTTGCCAAAGTGGAGTCATTACCATATTCATTCAGTGGAGGAGGCAGGGAGGGATTTTGCGATCGTGCACGTGCGCAGTTTCACGTTGAGTCGGATGTACAAAGAGAATATGAGTGGAATTCCGCGTATGCAGTGTTTCATACATCTGAATTTTTACTTCGTATACGCACATTTAAAGCTTTGTGGGTACGCAATATTTTAGTATAAATTCAATGCAAGTCTTCGTACATGAGGCCCCTGGTTTTACAGCTAACTGGCTCCGACATCCCAGTTTATTCACCTTATTCTTAGCCGACGAGCGGGTGCAGCCATTTGAATCGTTTTGGCTCGAGACCTCCGGTCTCATTTACTTCCATTAATATTTAGACATTAAAAACTGCTTGTTTCGCTGTTTGATGTTGCAAACAAATATTTTTTTATTATAATATTTTACTTGGTCTGTATAGTCATGCAAACATTTGTTTGTAGAGCAATTAGTTTGACTGTTTTCTGCCTTTTATTATTCCTAGTCATTTCTCCCATAGGCGACTGAATCGGAAGTTCTAAAACAATCGCGAAAACAGGCGCACTTCCGCATTTTAATTCAATTCAGTTCAGCTTTATTTGTATAGCGCTTTTACAATGTAGATTGTGTCAAAGCAGCTTCACATAAATGGTCACAGTAACTGGAACAGTGTGGTTCAGGTTTTAGTGTTTAAGTTCAGTTCAGTTTAGCTCAGTTCAGTGTAATTTAATCATTACTGAGAGTTCAAACACTGAAGAGCCAATTCATCGATGCGTAGCTCTACCAATCCTGAACCATGCGAGGCAGTGGCGACAGCGGAGAGGGAAAAAAAACTTCACCTGATGGGAGTGAAGAAAAAAAACCTTGAGAGAACCAGACTCAGTTGGGCACGACCATTTTAATTTCTCCGCTGGCCAAAAGTCTTGTGCAGAACTTCATTCGCCGTGGCTTATGCTGGAAGATGGCCTCAGCGAAGACTCGTCTGTCCCTGGAGCGTCGCTGGAATCAGACTCATGTTCTCCACTCCCCACGACCATCAGCGCAGCAGCAGCTCAGGATATGGCCTGGTCCCGGATATGGAATCCTTGGGATCATCACGTCGCTGGTCTTGGATCCAATCAGTGACTCCGCATAATCTGAGGACCTCGGGATGAGTATCCCCAGGTGAAAATAGAGAATAAAGAAAATAATTAGCGTAGCTGCTGTTCATAGTGTATATAAGCAAGATGCAGACGCCAGTGTGGAACCCGCTAGGTGATGCATTGAGTGTATGTTTTACTAAACAGATAGGTCTTTAATCTAGTTTTGAACTGGGAGAGTGTGTCTGAGCCTCGGACGTTATCAGGAAGGCTATTCCAGAGTGTAGGAGCCATGAAAGAGAAGGCTCGACCTCCTTTACTTGAATAAGGTCAATACCCTTCTTCAGAACTCAGCTCCAGCCCTCATCAAACACACCTGAACCAATTAATTTGTTCCTGAAACATCATTGATAATTACAGACAGGTGTGCAGGATTGCAATATGAAGTAGGAAGGGTAGCTCTCTATTGGGTAGCTGATTCCTGCACGACATTTTATCAGAAAACACCTCCAGAGGATTTTATTTCTGCTTTGAGTCACGATACTATTAGGATTCAAGAGATGTTACAGCATGAATGACTGATCTTAAAGGTGAAAAATATAGAAAAAATAAGCTATGCAGGTGAGAGTGAGAGTCTTAAAAGTTCAATAAAACTCAATACTTTTGGTCAGAAAATTGGAGAGAAGTCATGTATTTGTCATCTCTTATGCAGTTTGCTGCTCCGGTTTCCCCCACAGTCCAAAGACATGCGGTATAGGTGAATTGAATAGACTAAATTGGTCTTATTGTATGGTTTGTGCAAGAGTGTGTGGGTGTATTCCAGTGTTGGGTTGCCGCTGGAAGGGCATCCGCTGTGCGAAATATGCTGGATAAGTTGGTGGTTCAATCTGCTGTGGCGACCCCTGATTAATAAAGGGGCTAAGCTGAAAAGAAAATGAATTAATGAGCTCTTGCTAATGTGTTACATTAATTCCATCCACAAGGTGGTGTTCTTCTCAAACTACCTAACTCAAACAATAAATGCTATAATTCTCCATTTTTAATTATTTATTAAACGTTTACAATATGTATTTATTTACATATTTATTTACATATATATTTATTTACAAATGGGTTTCCCATTGATTTATAGTTTGGTATGATAGGACAATATTCGGCAGAAATTGGCACAGATAAAACTATTTGAATAACTGAAATCTTAGGGTTCAAAATAAAACTAAATATTGGAAAAGTCACATTTAAAGCTTTCCAAGTGAAGTGCATTATGTATAATACTAATCAAATTTCTGTTTATATATATAAATATATATATATATATATATATATATATATATATATATATATATATATATATATATATATATATATACAGTTGAAGTCAGAATTATTAGCCCCCTGTATTATTAGCGCCCCTGTTTATTTTTTTCCCCAATTTCTGTTTAATGGAGGGAAGATTGTTTCAGCACATTTCTAAGCATAATAGTTTTAAAAACTTATTTCTAATAACAGATTTATTTTGTCTCTTGTCATGATGACAGTAAATAATATTTCACTTCAAATTTTTCAAGACACTTCTATACAGCTTAAAGTGACATTTAAAGGCTTAACTAGGTTAATAAGGTGCACTAGGCAGGTTAGGGTAATTAGTCAAATTATTGTATGATGATGGTTTGTTTTGTAGACAATCCAAAAAAGAATAGCTTAAAGGGGCTAATAATTTTGTCCCAAAAATGTTTTTAAAAAAATTAATAACTACTTTTATTCTAGCCGAAATAAAACAAATAAGACTTTCTCCAGAAGAAAAAATATTATCAGACATACTGTGAAAATGTCATTGCTCTGTTAAACATCATTTGGGAAATATTTTTTAAAAAAAAATCTAAATCAAAAGGGGGCTATGTATATATATATATACATTTGCAGTGGGTAATTTACAGAATGTCTGCATGAAATGAGCTTTATTTATATTTGAATGATTGTTTTTGCCATGAAAGAACAATCTGTAATTCTTACCCACAATGTATTTGTGCTTTTGCCAAAAAAAAAATATGCCTGTGCAACATTAATACTGGTTTTGTTGGCCAGGCTCACAAATACTTAAAGTTAAATATAGTTATTTGTTTGTGGATTGTTTAGAAAATGTAATAAATTATTTATATTTTGCTAATTCTTTTTTATTTTAAAATGTTCCTCTTTGAAACTCAAATATTTTGTTTAGTTTTATTCAGAATGTAGAATTGCTATGTAAATGCCAAATGTCTATTAATTTTTAATCCAAACATCAGAATTTGTGGGCAATTAAAACTAAACGGTCAAATTGACTAATACAAAAGCCCCATTGACTTCCATTATAACCAAAAAAAATTTTTTTATTACAAAACAATCTAACAATGCAACAAAGCCAATGTTGTTACTAATCATTCACATGCTCAAGACTGTGATAAAGGGTAAAAAAAATCCAGTCCACATTTACTTTTTATATTGGAAAATATGTCATTTAGTGTGTGTGTGTGTTTTTTTTTTTTTTTTTTCACCAAATCAATGTGATTATTCATGAATTTGACAATTAAAGAGTTAAAATCCTGTAATTTTCTAAACAATTTAGTTGTTTTGATCTGGACCGAGGTTGATTACCAGATTTATGCAAAAAAAAAAATAAATAAATAAATAAATAAAAATGAAAATTAAAAAATTAAAACAAATGATCTGATGCATTTCACAGCAGTTTAATTCAGTGGATGTTTTCATCCCTAATATACAGTAAAAAAAAAAAAAAAAAAAAAAAAAAAAAAAAGGTAGTACATTTGACTTGATTTTATTTTTTTCTATTTAAATCAGATTTAAATGGCAAGATACCCTGTGGGGACGGAAGCAACACTGCTATTTATGTCCCACAGCCAACAGACAAACCTTATTTTTTTCTTTTCTTTCACATTAGAGTTTGCAGTATTTGGACTCAGATCTTTTATAAAAATTAACATTGCCAATAATAATTGATGAAAATATCTAAAATTTTAGAAAATTGTAACATTTTGCAGTTTTGGTTTGCTTTTGAATCATTTGATTGAACTGAAATGTAAAATAAAAATATTTTTTGCAAAAATAAAGGACAAAATATGTTGTTTTGAATATTAACAAAGTCATAGTGAAATATAGCCTATTTCAAATAAAGATTAAGTAAATCTAGCAAATATAGTTGTTACTTTACCGATGGGGTCAAAAGTAACAATGCAACTTTGTTTAAAGTGAAGTTATATTAAAGTTGTTCTACACTGATACAAAATAGCACTTGATTTTGATAGGACACTCTTGTGGGTTAGTATTTCTGCTAAAAACAGTTTTAAAATTAGATTTTTAATGAAAAATGTTACTTTCGTACCCGCTTTCCCCTAATTAGCCTGTGTGTTACATTATTAGGCCTATTTTACATAGGCTAATATTTTTTCGTAATGAAAACTACTATTTGTAAATAATCAACCAGCACTGACAGCAAAATTGTGCATTACATACACCAGTCCACAAGGTGACGTGTTTCTCAAACTAATCAACAGATTGGGCGAAGTTACCGACGGCTGTTTCTAATCCCGAGAACACGTTCAGTGCGCTCTGTTGCGGCTCATTTGACAACACCGAGTTATTCCGTCCACGAAAGTACATTTGAACGTCTCAGACACCCTTACAAACTTTACACAAACCCACCAAAAGAGGGTGTAATGTAATAAAGACACCAACTACACATAAAACAGCCGGTGTGGCGAACTCCACACTTGCGCTTCATTGTCTCCGTTCATCCCTACAGCAAAGAGAAAGAGTCCCGTCCCTTGAACACAGTGGGCGTGGTGTATGTGCGAGTGAGTGGGAAAACAAACAGCAGACAACCAACACTTCCTACATCTTCAGCAACTCGAGCGTTCGTGCCCGCAGTGTTTACACAGAGACCCGCAGCGCGCACAGGACGCGTCCCATCACCAGTAAATGAAGCTCCGCATCCACGGCACTGCCCCGCGCGCGCTCAACATACATGGACCCGCAGCATCTGAGGACTTCAGACTGATCTGCTGCTGTTGATTGTGTTTTTTGCTTTCTGTAAAATGAGCGGAGGAGAAATCATCTGTCAGGGATGGTTGAGAAAGTCGCCGCCCGAGAAGAAGCTGCGGAGATATGTGAGTGTTTAAAGCGCTATGTTCATTTTGTGGTTTATGTTGAGTCAATGAGGAGGAAAACTGTCAACTTTTAGCATCAAACTCTCTATTTGCAACATAGTCGTTCTAAGAAAAGAAAATACTGTTTTGAAATGTGTTTATTAACAGTTTGCTGGTTTAAGTTGGACTATTTAAAAGCAAAGCAGTTGTTTTGATGCTACAGTAGCAAGTGCATGAAGCCCATTTAAAACCAGCGACCAAACCAAGCTGATTAGGCTGGGAGACCAGCAAAACAGTTCAGACTGGTTTTGTTTAACATGTATATGATGATGCTATTATTTAGAGAGCACAGTGTCTGATTGCTGTTGTATTGTTATGCAGTATAGAAGCCTATTCATGACATTTGAGAAGTGTACAGTTGCTAAACTCAAAAGGTGGCCAGTTGATGTTCTAAGTTTGGATTAGTTTATGGAATGCTGTGTGGTAAATATTTAAAAATTTAAGGTTTAGAAGATTGTTTTATAGAGCCTTTTTAGAATTCAAATTTATGGAGTGGGTGGTGCAATGTTATGATCACATGACCTGTTATGTGATGTCATTGGCCAAATGTTATTCTGTGTGACACTTTTAGTTTGTAATCATGGAAATAGAAAGTACAATACGTTACTTAGGGAGTGTTTACCCTTTTATTAGCTACAATTAATTGAAGATGATTTTCATGTACATTTTGTAAGTAAAGCCGGTTCTAGTAAAGTCATAGAGCCTAGTTTACTGACAAGCTGTGCATAATCACGTTCAAAATATCAGGTGATAAAACATCTAATAATTTATTAAAAAGAGAATATTTCTGCAATAATATGTATAATAACTGCGTATAGCTTCTTTGTAAATATGGCTCTGTGTTGTTGCTGCTGCCTCATCTGAAATCATGTAAAAATATTACCTTTTATAACATGTATTTTACTCCAAACTCACTTCATAACTTAATTCAAGAGCTTTAATAAACATTCTGAGAGGTGAGTCAGTACTCAGTTGCTTATTAGTCATGTAGAAATCATGAAAACAGTTCAATCTTGTGTACCCAACTGCATGGGTATTTGAAGTCTTTTTGGAAGTGTAGCACCCTCTGGACTTTGAAGGACATTTACTACAAATCACACAACTGTGCTTCCCTGACAAGATGTGCATGAGAATAGCAGCTTTTGCTTGATTGCGATTTCATTTTGATCTATTGTGCAGCCCTACTCAAAATGTTGACCTTCATTTAAATGTAAACGGTGATGTCATTTGCATGTATTATGTTTCCACTCTATAGTCAAGAACAACTATTGTAGACTATAGCATATGTGTACAGATGCATAGCATTTCTTTACAAAATTTATTTTTCTATTACTATTTTATATATATATATATATATATATATATATATATATATGTATATATATATATATATATATATATATATATATATATATATATATGTATATATATATATATTCATATATATATATATATATATATATATATATATATATATATTTATATATATATATATATATATATATATATATATTTATATATTTTTTATATATATATGCGTGTGTGTGTGTAGTTCCCTTTTTAGATCCTGCTAGCTGAACATAAACAAAGACTAAGTGCATTTGTAATGATAAAAAGCTATATTGCTGAGCTCAAACAGCACACAATTTTTCCAATATTGACATTTCAAATATGACAAAAGGAGGAACTAACGCTTATCAAGCACACTGGCATGTTTAGTGGATGATGATGATGATGATATAACAGACCACAATATATATCAGTCAGGACACGGTTATTGGCCATCATTTTAAACTGGCCTGGTCAGTATATTTATTTCCTAGTCTTTATTGTCCCAGCAGGTGCTAGCACTTGCATGTCCCATGTAAAACAAATTATTAAACTACCCATTTATTGTTTGGGATGACCACCAATAATGCCTTCCTTTTATAATAAGATTATAAGTTTTATAATCTGGACTTAATTGAACTAACGAAGCTGTGCACAGTGGGGTTTGTAGACACCAAAGAGACGCCGTCTGTCTCCTAATTCTGCTCAGGACAGCTGTCTGTGCAACTGCTCCTATTAAAAGAGCAGAAACTGTTTACTGCCCTTCTTTCATCCGATATTAGCTTGCTGGTAGCCAGTTGCTGCATTATTGTAAACCGGAGGCTGGCCATGTGGAGTCCCCTCATCTTTCCGAACGTTGGTGCTTTCCGTTTTTTTGATAATGCATCCTGCAACAAAAGCTAGGCAGGCTCTAAGATCTCATAAATACAGCTGTCTCGTGTTTATCTACAGTGTTGCATTACTGGACTTCTCCATCCTCCTACCTAACTTTGCCATGATGTCATCTCACGTTCCCGCTCTCCCTTTTCTCCTTCCTCCTCCCTGGGTTTCATCGGGGGAGCTGCCGTATCTGTGTGTCCTCAGATGCACACATGCTAGGTCATTTCCTCATTGTCTTCCACATAAAGCAGCCCTGTCTTATGTGGAGCTGCACAGGAACTGCTCATGTCAAAATAAGTGGGCAGCTGGGGCTGGGAAGAGGAAAAGCAGACACATGTTTACCTTATAAGCGAAGGTCAGTGCTCCTTGAAGCACAGAAAAAAAAAACAGTGCGTTAAAGGAATAGCCTGCTCAGAAATGCAACACAGGCTTATTGGAAAACGTGCATCCACCTACTTTAAAAAACTAAAGCATTACTGTACATGCAGTTCAATGAGGTTTACGACTAACAGTGTAGTGTAGCTTTACTAACAGAGGTGGTCAAATGCCATCTTTGATTTATTTCCGCACTAGCTAGGATTGTAAATTTCAGTTTTGTTAATTTTGTCTTATGTGTTCAAATTTTTTTCTTTTTTTATGTTTTGTGTTGCTTATTATTATTTTTAATTAGAATGTGCAAGAGATACTTAAATTGGGATCACATACAAGGAAAACAAAACAACATAAAACTAAAGAAAAACAAAACAACAACTATACAGTCAGGTACTGGCAGGTGTGTGTGTGTGTGTGTGTGTGTGTGTGTGTGTGTGTGTGTGTGTGTGTGATATTTTTATATTAAATATATTTATATCGCAACCTTTGGGATTAGCTAAAGTTTGCAACATGTAAAATCGCAATTATGATGGGATTTCGATGAATTTTTGAGAAAATTAATAGCTGGTTTCCGTGCCCCTATGTTAAGGCAGATTTTGAAATTCAAGCAAAACCAAAAAAAATGCATGAATCCAAAATAAATAGCCATATAAGCCAAAAATATATAACACTTAAACAAATCATTAATTAAATTACAAATATAAAAAACATAAATAAATAAATTAAATAAATAAATAAATGGTAAAACTTTTAAACAATAAAATAATAATGAAAAATAAATGGAGACAAAAATGAAGGAGAAATAATTCTGTTTTATTAGGTAATATATTGCATGTATTATTTATCTTTCTTTTGCATGTGAACTGCTTTCCTTATGTCTCTATTACACAAAAATAGATGCAGAAATATATATATGTGGTAATAAATACATATACAAATAAATAAAAAACAAAATACTACCAATAAAATGTTCATTAAAAAAATAAAACATTAAAAGAACAAAAACATATGAAAAAATTAAGCAAAAATATTTAAGATGAAACTGTATAAAAATAGGCTATACAGTAGGTAGTACTGTCGCCTCACAGCAAGAAGGTTGCTGGTTCGAGCCTGGGCATTTCTGTGTGGAGTTTGCATGATCTTCCTGTGTTCGTGTGGGTTTCCTCCGAGTACCCTGGTTTCCCTAACAAGTCCAAAGATATGCAGTATGGGTGAATTGAATAAACTAAATTTAACTGCTGTAGTGTATGTGTGTAAATAAGTGTGTATGGATGTTTTCCAGAGAAGGGTTGCAGCTGGAAGGGCATCCTCTGCATAAAACATTTGCTGGATAAGTTGGTGGTTTATTCTGCTTTGGCAACCCCGAATTAATAAAGGGACTATGCCGAAAATAAAATGGATGTATGTTTTCCAGTACTGGGTTGCAGCTGGAAGACATTTGCTGTGTAAAACATATACTAGATAAGTTGGCAGTTCATTCCACTTTGATGACCACTGCTGAATAAAGGGACTAAGCCGAAGGAAAATTATGATTTATGTCGCAACCTTGGAAATTAGCTGAAGTTTTTAGCTAAAATTGAGCAACATTTCAAATAGCAATTGTGATTGGATTTTGATTAACTGTTAAGCCAATTCAAATGTTAAGGCGCATTTTTAAATTCAAGCAAAAATAAATAAATGCAGTAAAAAAATATATATAAATATAAAAATAAACACTTAAGCAAATAATTAATTAAATAAATATAAAAATATACAAATATATAAAGCATAAATAAATAAATAAATAAATAAGTAAAACTTATAAATTAAAGTTTAAAACAATAAAATATTATTGAAAAAATACATGTAGACAAAAACAATTGATGATAACTATTTCACTGTGGTGACCCCTAATTAATAAAGAGACTAAGCTGAAAAGAAGATAAATTAATAAATGAATTTTGCTTAAAAGCACGTAGATGCAAATATATGTGCCTTTGCAATGTCACACACCACTTTATACCAAATTGAGCCATTTTTTAAAGCTTAAATAATCAGATGCTTTGTTTTTATTTAAGGAAGCTGCTTTATGCTTTTAGACTTCTGGATGCCGTAAGTGTATAAAAATCTCTAAATTGTCAGAAGATCAAGATATTTTTGATTTTTCATGTCATGACCCGTATTAAATTTGAGGGAAAAACCACAGTTTCAATAAGGGGGAAACACCAACATGATTGGGTTTAAAACTAGTTTTGGTTAGCAGTTTGGTGGTATAGTTACACAGACCTGGCAACCCACATAACATGGTGAAAAAAGCCAGGTATGGGCATTCAGCAGACATTCTGGCATCAGTCGGACAGGGAAAAGCTTGTGCCAAAAAGACTAATTGTCTCCTCAAAAAA